ATAAGAGAGAATAATCGATATCAGCATTACATAAAAAATTTTCAATTGTCTCATGTGGAGCAGTAGAAAAAAAACCAATTCGGATAGTGGAATATGGAATGATAGACGGATATGTGAAAAAAATTTCAAACAAGACTTTCAATCCTCACATTTTGGGCAGTAAAAAAATAGGACTGTCAGTTCTTTCAATCCTCACATTTTGGGCAGTAGAAGAAGAGGACTATCAGTCCTTTCAATGCTCACATTTTGGGCAGTAGAAAAAGAGGATAGTCAGTATGGGCAGATGATATAAAGGAAAGCTTTAAAATTTATGATAGCAAAATTACAAAGCAGACTTTTAATTTTGGGTTATAAAAAATAAAGAAAGACCAAAAAGAAGATAAACATATGAAGCAGTACTTCAATAACTAACTCAAATTAGTACTGTATTCTTTCATTAATTAAAAGCAAAATCATTTATGTCAATTAGTAATATTCATTAAACCGTTTTTCAAAACTTTATTAGTAGTGCAAACTTTTTAATAGTTCTCTCTATCAGGTAAAACTCATTCCTATCGCTATGTTTATATATGTAAATTTTATGTAGCTATGTACATTTGAATATATTTTTTGAAAACGATTTCAAGTGAAAACTTTTGACTAGCTTTTGACACATTTACTGAACTAATTTATCATAAAATAAATTATTAATAATTTTTTCAAGTGTAATTGAAAGTTTTTGCTCTTTTATTATTGCATAAAATACACATAAAAATTTTAATAAATTGGCTATACAATATATCATTTAACACATTTACACACAGGAAAAAAGTTATTAAAGTATAAACTTTTGCTCCCCATCATCCCCATAACCCCAACCGTGTAACGTACAAACGGCACCGCACATTTAGTTAGAGTACAAGTCAAACGTACCTGAAATGGTTATAAATGTACACTATGTACACGCCTGTGTACGTAGCTGTGTGCATGAATAGGTACAAGTGTACGTAGAAGTGTACGTAGAAGTGTAGGTATTTGAGGGTTGTTGCATAATTTAACGCTGGCAGCACTTACCAATTTGGTAGGCGTTTATACTTTGCACAAACGTTGGCATGCAATAATGAGGACCGCCATTATACGGTTTAAGGCTGGCATACGCCTAAATGAGATTTTCTAAGCAAATTGTTTCCTGTGTTTTATTTTCGATCGTCTGTACGGTATGTACATTCGGTCAACAATTGGGTCTCAAGCGTCTTTTTACATAGAAACAACGTTTGGCAATACCTATAAAGATAAGAACTAAACATTCCTAGTACATCACTGCTACCACTGACATTGACACCAACTTCGACTTCAACTTTTGCTTCTACTTAGACTTTTGCTTCTACTTCGACTCTGTATCAGATTTTGAATCATAGTCTGAATCAGTTTCTGACTCCAATTCTGGTTTAGAAACAAAATCGGAATTAGACATTGTATTCACTGACCTGACTATGTTGTTGTTATTGTGGTTGTTGTTGCTTTTTAGTATAGGAAAAAACTTTTCTGGAACTTTTTCGCACTGCCACTAACTGCTGCGACAACTGGCAACTTCTTGTACTTGGTAGTGACTGTTACTGACACTGGCGTTGCTAAAAAAATTAAAACATAAATAGAAAGCAGAAATATATTAGAATGAAAAATTAAAAAGACGACAGAATAGATGTTGTTGTTCAATTTCACTTATCTCTTAAAATTCTTTATTTTTTTCAAAAAGTTGTGCAACTTCAACAGCAGCAGAAACATAGCGACAATAAACAACAGCAACAACAACAATAACAAGAACAACCTGGTAACACTGTATTACTAGTAACAACAGCAATGCCAGCAATAAAAACAGCAACTTGAAAAAGTAACAGCAGAAGTACAAAGTGACTTCGGTTGATAACTTTTTGATTTTCTTTTTGTTTTTTTTTTTTCTTTTTCGTTTTGTTCTTTCAATTTCTAAAAAGTTAAATGAAACAAGATGAACAAAGTGTAACTTTTTCCTTTCCTCAACTGCCCTATTAGTATTGACTATCATCTTCCTGTATCTTATGGTACGGGCTTGAATATTCCTTGGTCTCTTCCTACTGGAGACAGTGTTTTCCCCTAAACTGGCACCTAGCGCATAGCATCCACGTCGTACTTGTTACTTCATGGGTTTGTAAGGTCAAAATGTGAAATTTGAAAAAGTAGACCTTTTTTCTTTTATTTAAATTTCTTACGTCTTTGTTGTTTCTCCCTAACTTTCAAAAAGTTTCCCCCTCATTCTTTGGGATTCACCACCACCAGCTCTATCAGATGTTTGAATGTGTAATCGGTTTTCACTTAATAGTATTTGACGTAGTTTTTGATTAGCTTTTCGTTCTATTAAAAATAAATTTAAACTAATTTTAATTAATTTATGAATGTAAATGAATAAATGACACAATAAAAAAATTGCGGTTAAAACTGTCAATGAATCAATTATTGCAGTTAAAGAAGACCTCCATGTAATTAATATACTTCGAAGAAATGAATCACAATGCATCACAATGTTAGCGCCGGAAAATAGTTCTGTCCAATATAGTAAAATGTCGTCTTTGTCTTTCGAATCAGAAGACATTATCTTTGGAAGCACCTATCTGCATTTGACGACAAAAACTCTTCTTCAGAAAAATATACCGAAAATAGTCCATTTCGCCTTTAGTTAGGGTCCTTAATTTAAGTCTATATATCTTTACATTCATAGGTAGTTGAAATAGGAAATCACCATATATTTATAGGGATTTAGGTTATATATAGAGATTTGCCTTTAGAATCACAAGACATTATCTTTGGAAGCACCTATCTGCATTTGACGACAAAAACTCTTCTTCAGGAAAATATACCGAAAGCAAACCATTTCGTTTTTAGTTAGGTTCTTTAATTTAAGTCTGAATATCTTTAAATTCTTAGGTCGTTGAAATAAGAAATTATAACAACTACATATATATATATATATGTAAAGGGATATATATATATATAACATCAACAATAGTTCTTTTTGACATGACACTTGAAGTTTACACGTTCACATAGTAGTCAATGAGGTCAGAGTACTCCTTGGATTGGTAAGCACATTTATTGCTTCCCTGACCAACGGTTTTGGCATCATCAGTTTAGTCTGTCTACAAGTGCTCATATCTCTCCATCATGAGAGAGGTGAGGAGAGAGATGAGGTGAAGTTATCCACCTATCCACCCAATGGTGTTCTGGGCTCTGGGCCGTAGAAGTTATCGCTTGATCCTTGCTTTGCAAGTTTATCTGCTCTTTCGTTTTGCTCAACACCCACATGACTGTTACCTCATTTCCAACTCAAGTAAGACTTTGGTGTTGAAGTAAAGGCTTTATCTCCAAATTCATCTATAGTTTTAAAGCCTTTGTTGTAACATAGTATCCCTTTAAACTATGAAAAAGGAATGCTAAGAGAAATAAAACCGAAGTGAAATAAAAGAATTAAGATAATATTGAAATTCATTCTGAAATTAGTTTTTCTTCATCATTGCGATTCACTCTTACAAGATCATAACTCTGGAAACCCAAAAGTTATTCTAGGTATTGTCATCTAGGTGTACGTTATCTATTTTCCTTTCTAATCCATTTAAAATGCTAGAAGGCTAGAAGATAGCCATTGTTTATATTTCTTATAACTTAGTATTACGAAGAAACCAAAACCGATTCTATTCCATGATGTTCTTTAAATAGAACCTAATTTGTGTACTTAAATCCTGAATGGAATTTTAAAAATTGTTTTTTGTGTAAAACTTATGAAAACGTTGAAGTCAAATGCAATTTATCAAATAAAGAAATCACAATTCAGGACTCGAATTCCCTTCCACAGCTGTTCCGCATCCTCAATGATGACGGGCTGCTGTGTATTCGAGGTTAAAAAATAATTGAAAAAGTCATACTTTGCGGTATTGAATAATTGAAAAATTGAATTTTCTCTGACACTTTGCAAATGTTACAGTATTGCTAACATTTGCATACCAGACTACATCAAACACTAATGCCGTCGACAATGGAGAGTGGCAGCAACTATTTCTCTTCTGTAAACAATTTGAAATATTTTTGTGCTTTATTTTGTGGTGAAATCACAGAAAATTACTTTTATTGTATAAATAATATACAATTTCAGTTAGTTAATGCTTTTTTCCTTTACGAGTATTTGCTCAGCGTTTTGTTGGCAGTTGCCAGTTGGTCGTTGGTCGTTGGTCGTTATTGCAAGCTTTGCTGTTCCTGTGAGCTGCTGTTCCGAGGTACCGAAATCATTGCTCTTGTTGATTGTGATGCCGGAGATGTTGCCAGCTGCTCCGTGCTGTTGTTTGTTGTCAGTGGCCATTGGTGTCCATTATTTATTTTTATAGTTTTCGCTTTGAATTCATGTGCGGAATAAAAACGCACACAAGTCCTTCACATTCACAACTTAGCAACTGAACAACTGAACAACTGAACAAGTGAGCAACTCACCAATTCAGAAATGCAGCGGAATGGGGTTTCGGCGGTTCGACGGTTCAGAGATTTGGCGGTTTGAAAATCATCGACTGAGCGAGCGTGGCACTTCTTTACATTTTGTGTACTAAATGCTTGAGGCGCTGCTATTAACGCTTATGGGGCCCATGTTTTGAATGCTTCAATGCTCACAAACAACGTACAGGACTACATAGTGCTGGTGGTCGGACCAACGTTATTATCAGGATGCTCATACTATTATGCATTGCGGTGTGCCACAGCGTTGCCATCTTGTTGAATTTTAATTATTTAAATATTCTCTACATTCAAAAAGTTTTCATTTTTTACTGCTACTTGATTGTTTTTATTGTCTGTTCTTTTTTAAATTGTTATTTTCTGTACATTTTTATACTTCTCCCATATACTTCTCAAATGCATATATTCATAGACTTTATATTTGTATATAAAAAAATCAAAAAATGTATCTCAGTAAATTTAAAACTTCACTGTTCTTTGTTTCTTTACAGCTATCGTTTTACACAAATCGCAGTTGATGCGCAAATAAAAACTCCTGGCGGAAAAACTTATGACGTCATTTTTGTTGGAACAGGTAACTTTACACAAAACTATATTTTACAAGCAATTTAAGTATTTAAAAGTAATTAAATACGTCGACCATACAACCTGATTTATATAATCTGTAACCCAAAGTGTCATTAAAAATATCAATAGCCAATTATACACACAAAGGCCAAGGCAAAAATAAGTGGGAATTTGAAGTAACCCACCCCAGACATGGACATGGGCTCAGTGAACAATGATTTTGATTTTAGTTCTCAATTGATTTAACCTTCTATATCACACGCAACTGCTTTATATGTAACGACATAATATTCTCATAATTAATAAGCCTTTATCTTCTCTTTGATCTTTTTCTCCCCACCTATTCGAATCGTCTTGACTTTTGTTACAAATATTCACAGATTCTAGAAGATAAATGATATATCCATATAATGGGTATATTTTACGAAGGAGTAATCCAAGATTTGCAAATAAAATTCAATCCAAGGGGCGATCTACCAATTTAATTGGTACATTTTGCTTAAGAGCTTTAATTTAATAAAACTCAAGAGATTAATTATTCGTAAAAACACATTTAGTTTTTTCTAAAATAATCCCCATACTGAGTTATAAATATAAAGTAGTACTTATTCAACTTCAGAGAATATTTATCACTGCATCCATTCCCAATTGCAAAATTAAAATGTAAGGTTTAGGAAAAAAATCAGATAGGATCAGTTTTAAGAATAAACATAGTACTTATGGTATTTAAAGAAAATAATTTAAAGAATATATAATGGATTGAATAACTACAAGATGTTATAGATATAAGCTATGCTCACAGATTTTGTAGAAATCCGATTTAATGATTTACATCTTTTTCAAAGAGGTTATCTTAAGCAAATTTGCAGAATTCGATTGGATTTTTCAACTAGAATTTGCTCAAGGCATTTTTAGTGATGATAATATATTTATTAAGTCCATTCGCTTGCATTGAACCCATTTGAAATATCATAACATATTTCCTACATATTACTTATAATCCAAGTTAGTTTCCTCATGGGAAAATTAAAATCAAATATATATCTTATGTATTCATGTTATTTATCGCCTAAGCGAACTTGCCAAAAAAACTTTGAGAAAAGAACAATCCAGTAATCATAGAAAAAAATATATAAAAATAAATATAAATAAATATAAATATAAATAATATAAATATAAATATAAATATAAATATAAATATAAATATAAATATAGTATAATATACAATATAAATATTAAATACATATAAATATATAAATAAATATATAAAATAAATATAATATAAATAATATGAAATATAATAATATAAATTAATATAAATAATATATAATAATATAGAATATAAATTAAATTAATATAACATAATATAAATAAAATATATAAACATAATGAAAATAAGATGTAAGTACAGTAAAATATAATATAAATATAATATGCATGTATGTATATAATATATATACGAGAATAAAAATAAAATGTAAGAAAAATAAGATTCAATATTAATATAACATAAATATAATATATATAAATAATAAAAATATATGTGAGTAAATACAAATGTAAATGTAAATAGAATAAAAATAAAATGTAAGTATAACAAAATATAATATAAATATATTAATAATACAATGTATATATAAAATATAAATTACTTGATATGTAAATGCAACATAAATATAAAATAAATTCAATATATGTATAACACAAAAATAATATAAATATAATATAAATACAATATAAAAATAATATAAAAATAATATAAATATATTAAAAATGTAATATAAATATAAAATATAAATATATAACTTGAAATATAATAATACAAATATATTAAAAATATAATGTAAGTACAATATACACATTACTTGAAATATAACATCAATATAATATAAATATAACATATATATATAATATAAACACAAAATGGACATTAGGAAAGTACAATATAAATATAATATAAATAGAACGAAAAAATAATATAAATATAATTTAAATATAATGCGAATATAATATATATATAACTTAAACATAATTTCTATTTAATATAAATATAACATCACCAATATAAATTTAATATAAGTATAACATAAATATAATGTTAATATAATATAAATAGAATAAAAATTTAATGTAAGCATAATAATATATATTATAAATATATTATTAATATAAAATTAATATTAATACATTAAAAATTTAATGCAAATATAAATTATATATATATAATTTCAAATATATAATATCAGTATAATATAAATATAACATACATATAATATAAAATTATAATAAATATAATATAAAATAATATAAT